CACGTTTAATTGCTTTGTTTATGGTTCTAGCATCAAGACATAACCTTACTGTCTTATTACTTATCCATTCATGTGATCCTTCAACTTTTTCAATAATGTCTGCTTCTTGAAGTCGCTTTAACTCTGCTCGAATGTCTTTTCGAAGGTGATAAGAATAACGATGCAACAGGTTTTATGTTTTTGTTTACATAAAGTTTGCATTGAAAATTTTTTAATTTACCATGTTCTTCGAATATGTCTTCGTATTTTGCAATTAACTTTGTCAAATTATTTTTAAATTTTAAAGTGATTTTACAAATTGAATCAACATGCTCAAAACTATTATCATTTTGATTCGTTGGAAGTTTGGTTTTATCATCAATGTTTTTCCACACGTTAAAATGCTGTACAGCTTCATGTGACTTATCCACTGAATTCATATAATTGTTTTTATTAATCACAAATTTTACACTTTCTGCAATTTTTAAAATGTTCAACTCCTTAGCAGTTTCAATTCCCATTATATTTTCAACATTATTTATCTACGATATATATATTTTTTGTAGTTATTTTGTTTTTAGTTTCAATTTCAGCTTTGAAACAATCTATTAATTTTAAAGGCTTCGAAGCATATGGAAAGGTGGTTGTTGATGATTTCTTGATTATTAAATTAGGATTGTTGCTTCTAATTCTTTCAAAGGTATTTTTATCAATTAAGTTTACACTGGAACCTAAGTCAATAATCATTTTAATCGTGACACTTTTCACTATTACATTTTATGTTTTTGTTTTATTAGATTGTCTTTTTCGTGTTGAACTACATGTCAGGGCAAGCGTTTTTTCTGATTCATTTTCTGAGCTGTGTTCACTTTTAGCTTTATTATTTATTTCATTAACTTGTCGGTTTCTACTATACAACGGTTGTAAAGTATTTCGGCAACAAATAGCAAAATGATTTTTTTTTTGAAATTTGAAACACATTTTTTCAATGGTTTTGCAATCATTTTGGTGTCCAACAAAGTACTTCTCCCCACATCAAAAACATAACAAGTTATTTTCTTTTTTGTTTATATCATCATTTTGACTAGGTCTCGATTTAAAGTTTGTTGTTTTTTTCTTCTGAAAAAGGTTTGTTTTTCTAAATGATCTACTAAGTCGATTTCCTCTGAGCATACATTTGCTTTTTTATAAGACATTTCTTTTGCCTGTTGTTCTGACACTTCCATATTTCGACCAATTCCATTACATTTCTTGAGATTTTTTTCTCTATCTTTAAAGAATTTTTTTTTTAATTTTAAAAAATAACACAATGATATGAACTGATCTTTCACTTTCTCTGTAACATTTGGAAAATCACAATACTCCGCATGTATTTTTAATCGCGTAATAAAACTCTCTGTACTTTCCCCTTCATTTTGTTTGATCCTCGTAAAGACTATTCTTTCTTAGACTGAAATATTGATCCAGTTTATCACACACATCCTTGCATTGATCGGTGTCAGTTCCTTTCAGGGTTTTGTAGATTTCTTTTACATCCTTCCTTGCTATATGCAGAAGTAACACCTTTTTTTGCGCGTCTTGCTTGACTCCAGTTGCAACTAGATATAACTCAAAATCTTCTTTCCATATTTCCCACCGTTTCTCTAAATTAGTTGTGTTGTTTTGATTTATAATAAACTGTTCTAGTCCAGGTAAATTATTAATTATTTTCGCCATAGTTTGATCTTCGTCACCAACGGTTGTGTTCACTATTTTAAATATATATCTACTAACTCTCATTTTATTTGTATTAAAGATTTATTATAATAACAAACATATTTACAACTAGTATTATATGAACAAACATAACTCACTACAATATCTTTCAAACTAACGCACGAGTTCTAATGCGTTCCACATGAACGCACTCTTACCATTCATAATGTTATGTATTTCGTTACCAACTCTCAACAATGCCAAACCTGCCTTATTTGAAATAAAAATTCTTGATATATATCAGCCACGGGTGGCGGAAGCATTTTTTGGTCTTCGAGATATCTAACTTCCAGACATAAAAATTGCAATGATTGGAGCCTGGGAACAAAAAGGCCCTCAAAATTTTAGCCTCTCCTGCCCCAAACGTGAGAGCAACAAGTTAATGAAATATTTTTTTCATCAACTTGTTGCTTGACTTATATTCATTGAAAAACTTTAATTTTAATAGTATAATTTCTTATCGTTCAAAAATTTTGACTATATAAAATTTGCAACCCCCTCAAATTGAGGGGGGGGGGTTAAACTTCATATGGTCATATTTTTTGAACGCTAAAATATTTTACTACGAAATATAAAATTTATCGATGAATATAAGTCTAGTTGAAAATAATTCAAAAAATATTTCATCAACTTGTTGCTCTCACGTTTAAGGCAGGGGGGGCTAAAATTTTGGGGCTTTTTGTTCCCAGGTTCCATTCATCGCAATTTTTTGCAAAGCATTCTTATTTGACATAAGAATAAACATATATTTGTTTGGAATTGCTACATGTCTGGAAGTTAGATATATCAAAAACCAAAAAATGCTTCCGCCACCCCTGATATCAGCTAAATCTTTTTTATATTCTTTGTTTTATGTACAAATGTAATACTAACACCAACCCCGTTTATTTCCATAATTTTTATATCTTAAAGGATAAAATTAAATACAACTTAAGAAATTATAATTTAATTCGTCAATCATTCTTTCAAACTAATTTTGGAAAATCAAGCATTTCATTTCGTGGAGCTTCTTTTTGGAATAAAATAGTTTTAAAACATTTTTTTGTGGAATAGAGTTACCTCTCATTCAAAAATAAGCTTAAGGAAATCATTTTGTCTATTGATGATATATTTTTGTATTTCTAAACATTGAATAATTTACATTTTTATTTTTTATGCAGTGATGCAACTGAATATGTATATAAATGCACTTAAATTTTTCTTGTGCTTTATACACTTGATTATGTATGCATTTGATTTTTATGAGATTTAAGTTTACGAGCAGTTCTCGATGCAGTTACGAGCAGTTCTCCATAGTCTTCTGCGAGTGTTCGCTTTCTTTTTATTTGTTAAATCAAATACTAGTATATTTTTTATTTATTTTTATTTTCTAGTTGTAAAAGGATTTCTATTAATCTTAACGATTTAATTTATTTGTATAACGACTTTTATACTTTGTATATATTTTAAGTTTCAAGTTCTTCATCAGCGGTTCTCTGTGATAAGACCTAATGGTCATCTTTGAGTATCCGCGTTCTTCTTTCTTTATTTTTGATTTATTTATTTTTACAATATCTTCATTTGTAATTTTTCTTTTGTATATTTGTATTTGTATCTTAAAAAATTGTTATAAAGAACAAAAACAAACAAAAAAATAAATAAGCAAAAATGGTTTAAACGGTTTCTATATTGCACGAAAATAATTTGGAATATTTGTGGCAAATTATTGTTTTCACATTTTTACCATTATTTGCTTAATCATTTTCCACATTTTTTATGTGTTTTCTTTTCCATCATCTACCCATATTATACTTTTTTTGCGTTTTACTTTTTTGTTATCATTATAAACTAAACAGTCCATATTGAAATACCCTATTAAATAAATATTTTTATTTTCTTTTTGCCTATGTTATACATATGTTGGCTATATTGGTGCAAGGAAAAAATAAGCAACAGACAACCTTTTTCTTGCTTGCTGAACTATCTGCATATGAGCTATTAAGTGGAAGAGAATTTGGATCCAGTGCTATTTTTAGAGCACCTTAACAAATCAGCCATTGTAAATTCTATTGCTTAACTGAATAAATAGCTAAATCAGCTAGCAGACAAGCTTCTTTCTTTTCACTTCCTTCAGTGTTTTGTTTGAAAAAGCAAGCTTGTCTTCGAAAAAAAATTTGACATGATAAATTTAAATGATAAGAAATTTAAAGACAAGAAAAAATTGAATATTTTAGAAATTTATCAAAACTTTTCGCAATGATTTTTTAGTTTTCGAGAAAAGAAGAACTGGTAGAACTCATTTTCAAAACTTTTACGAATACTTCAAAACTGTAACGCAAATAATAATCTAATCGGAGCGTGTATTAAAATTGACCTTAATCACCAAATTAAGGTCATTTCTTGAGAATGACACTATGATGCATTTTGTTTCTTACTAGCATATTTTTATCACGTGTAAATTTTATTGTTTTCCTGAAATTTTATTACTTAATTTTTTTGTAAAGTTTAAAACTTTTAAATAAAAATCAATTTGGTTTTCAAAAAATTTATTCAACAGAGCATACTATCGTTGAACTTACAAATAAAATATTTTAATTTTTGATAAAAAAGAGCATGTACTGGGATTATTTATAGACTTTTCAAAGGCTTTTAAAACAGTTGACTACGACATCTTACTATCAAAATTAAAACATTATGGTACCAAAGGAGTAATGTATAAATGAATAAAAAACTGAGCAACAGAAAGCAGTTTATAATAAAAAAGGAGTCAAGTATTCTTGATATAGAGTGTGGGGGTCCCTCGAGACTCAATCTTGGAGCCGTTATTATTTTTAATTTACATCAATGATATTTATAAATAAATAAAATAATGTACAAAGTTTCTTGGTGTTTAAATAAACAAAAATTTATCGTGGAGAAATTACATGAATTAAAAATTCCATCTGCAATAGGTATTATATAAATCTGGTTTGATATAGATTATAATATAAAAGTCATCTTACATATGCTAGTATGTTGTGAGCTAATAAACACAAAACAAAATTAATTAAACTACAAGGCTTGCAAAACCATGCTCATAGAGCATTTCATTATGGAGGGGAGGACGAAGAGAGCTCCAAACAACTTACCACGGCACTGGTATAAGTATAACCATTAGAATGACAGAATAGTTTATAGTATAAAATAAATGTAAAAATACAAAAGTTTGGAGATTAGAACTCACTTTGAACAAAAAACAAATCCTGGGATTACAAATTTTCAAAATATGACTAGTTTGAATACGAACGTGTCCGTACAAACTTGTGCGAACGTATACGAATAGGAACGAGACTCTAAACAGACTAAAAGAAAATAATTGGTATAATTAAATATAAAATTTAAATAAACAAATTAACATGGCGGAAAAAAGCTCCTCTCAAGTCCGTTTTGCAGGTAATACTAATTTTTTTAATTGTTTTTGTAAAGAAAAATTTTTTAAAACATGATAAAATGAGCTTCCTTTTTAATAATGCTATGCTATACATATGCTGTACTATAGCATAGTCTGTGTTAATTAACTTTGGCTGAAGTAAACTAAAAGTACAGCCTAAAATATTATTTTACTGCTAAAAATGCTTTTAGCTTATTTTTTTATATTCCATTGGGGAATATTAAAAAAAATAATAACATTAAAAAAAAAAACACCTTAAAACTAATAATTCCTATTTTAAGGTGAATATAAAACTATAACTCTAATGTTTGTTTTATGAGCGTGAAAAAATGATATTTTGCATTTAGCTGCAGTCTAATCATACTTCCTTTAATATCCATAAGTTTGTTTCACATGTTTTTTAAATATTTTCACTGGTAAAAAAAAAGATGCCTTGACTGTTTCCTAGCTCATAGTATAAGTGGTATCTTTTAGATTCATCCTTATCATTGATCTTTAAGATACCTTTAATGTTTGTAGGTATCTAAAATGACAAACATGATCTTACTGATAGTCACTTAAATGTAGTTCTTTTTTTATTATTTAAAAATATTTTATTTCCAATACTGTTAATAACAACTTGCAATAGCAGTTTAATTTTAAATTAAAATTTTTGATAGCTGCCCCCCTTATCTTCTAATAAAGATGACAGCTCCATAAGAAGACTCAATTTAGTTTTGATAATGGCTGGTAGTAAAGTTTCCTGATCTCTTGTAGCTCTTAGAGATGCTAATTCTATCAATATCTTTAAAATATCAGAGTATTAACAGTACTACATTGCACATAAACAGTGCCAAATTAATGTTAGTGCAAAATTAATTTTTCTAGAGGGTAATCATGCTTACATCAAATTGTATTATCAAATTTTGCGCTTTTCTATCAATTTTTACTCACTCTTAATAAGTAAAAATTGCTTCTGCAGCTAAAATTTACAATACTTAATTTACAAAATAATTAAGTTGATGTAAAAGGTTTAAATCTTCTAGGAGAATTTTTTATTTAATTACTTTAAAATTAATTGGTATGAGTTTTATCTGTTTTAACTATTATTTTTGTTTATTAATGTTTATATATTTTATATTAATGTTTATATATTTTATATTTGTTTTGTTTTTTTTCCATTTTTCAAAGTTTAATAGATTAAGTGCATCAATGCATTCATACATTGACTAATATACCCATATGTATTTTGACAGCATGGTGTTTTTTGAGTACTATTTATTTTTAAAGAATTTTTTATGGTTGGCAAAATGTTTTTTTTTTATTCACCCTCTGTTAAGCCTATATATTGATATCAGTTACATTCTTAGAGGTTAAGCCAATATATTGATATCAGATACATTCTTAGAGGAAGCAACACAGTCATATACCATGTTTTTTGATAAAAAAAATTCTACTCGTTGCCTTCAATTATATATCGCCGGACAGTTGACAATTTAAATATCACTGGACAATTGTTTTTTGCTTACATTTACAATTTTTTGTTGTTTTTTAATTTAGGATTTCTTTTTTGTTTAGAAAAACATTAGTTTTTTTTTCCTGCGCTTCAACCCTTTGGAACTCTTTTCCATCTTCATGTTTTCCTGGCTCATACAAACTACAACTTTTCGAGTCTTTTTTTAACCGCTTCCTTGTTCTTTAACTTTTTTTTTTCTTGTAACAATTAATGATAGTTGCTTGTAGTCTTGTTGTTTCTTTCGTTTCTCTTTTTCTTAGTGAAATTTTTTTTTCTTATTTGAAATATCGTCAAGCTAGAGAGGTATTTATAGAGTAATTGCAAGAAAAGCTTTTTGTTATTAAAAAAATAATAAAATTTGAATGAATGAGTTCGATATTTTTAAATTTGTTTTTGTGTTATGTAGTTCAAATTTAAGCAAACAAATTTTTATAACAGTTTATGAAAAAAGATTTTAAGTTGTTAAAAATGTGTGTGTATGTTATTTCACTTCAATTAAATCATATTTTACATACATTAAAAAAGTTATTATAGAATTGTGTATTAAAATGTTCTTTTTGTTTTTGGAAGTTTACATTGGTTTAATATTATATTTTATTCTTAAAACATTGGTTTAATATTATACTTTATTCTTAAAAAATTTCAATCAAAAATATAAAACTAAAAATATAATTTTATTTCTGTTTGCCCATAGCATTTTTAGTTAATAATGATTTTTAAAAATATATATACCCAAATAATAATTTTTAAAAATATATATACCAAAATCTTTAAACCCAAATGATACCTTAAATATTTCTTCAATGTTTCCTTTTGAATGTTTTTTAGAATATTCAAAAATTAGGTTTTTGTTACTTATTTAGTTTACCAGTATCTTTATAAATTTGATTTTAATTGTTTGATTAGATTTTTTTAAATTATTTTTAGAAAATATAGATTTATAATATATTATTTTTAGAAAATATAGATTTAGCCACTATTGAACAAGTTAGAGACATAGAAAAAGAGGTAATGCATAAACCTTTATTTTAAATGGTCTATCTTTGTTTTTTATGTTATGTTTAACAATAGCATGTTGAAAATTTATCTTTGGTTACTAGGAGAAGTTCTGATTTTTTGTTCTCATTTTTTAAAAAAAAGTCATGAAAAGTTTAATATTGATTAAATATACTTTAAAGTATTTCTTTGAATTTTTAACATTGGTTTTTATCTTCAAAAAAAAATGCTTTACATATGTTTTCTATATATATATATATATATATAAATATATATATATATATATATATATATATATATATATATATATATATATATATATATATATATATATATATATATATATATATATATATATATATATTTGATTGTCATAATCAACATATTTGTTTTTATTTTAAAAAGCTCTGTAAATATTATTAAGCTTTAATAAAAGTAAAATAAACTCAATTGCTGAATCAAAAAATACAAAGATTTTTTTAATGCTCAAAATTATTTAAAATAGATCTATTTTAATAAATGTTTGCTATTGTTTAACTTTATTCTGTTATTGTTGAATTTTTTTATTTCCTTTAATTAAAACCTATATATATTAAAGATGATTTAAAATCAAAAAAGATGTTATGCTTTCAACATATATGCTGACAACACTTTATTATTTTTGAAATTGCAATCATGAAAATTTTGCATTAATGTTACATTATAAGTTTATACATTAGTATATTCTAGTGTATGTAACATTAATAAAGTTGAACAATAGTAAATATTCACTAAAATAAAACTTTTTTGAATAATTTTGAGCATTAAAAAAATCTTTTGTTTTTTAATACTTGATGTAAAAAAAAAAATTTACTAATCTAGAATTTCTAGATAAGTAAATTTTTTTCTTATTTAGTATTACATCATTCCTGTTTTGTTTTTGTTTTTCCTTGATTAGTGCATTTTTCTGTTTTTTTTTCCTTCTAGATAAGTACATTATTTCCACTAGTTGGGGAGTTAGAGTGCGTTGAGTCGTTGCTTCATGATTATGCTTCTGATGATCAAGTATATCAAAACAAACTAAAGGTTTCATTATTAGTTTTTTAGTATTTATTGTTGAGTATTTTTATTTTGTTTTATTTTATTTTAAATAGATTGCTGTTATAGTTGTTTTATAATTATTTGTTGTTATTTTATAATTTATAATTATTTGTTATTGTTTTATAATTATTTGTTGTGATTTATTAACATATGATTGAATTACTAACTGAAATGGTAATTTTTATATTTGAGATTTTATAAAATCATAAATTTAGGATCTTTTTCATCGTTATTCTCACCTACGCAGAACCCGAGGTGACGGAAATTGCTTTTATAGAGCCTTTGGTTTCAAGACTCTTGAAGCTTGTTTGGTTGATTCTGAGCTTTTAGAAAGGTATTTGTGATTATGTCGAAAAGTAAATAAAAAAGGCAGTTTATACTAAAAAGTTTTTCAAATTAATCATGCTTTAGTGGCTGTTTAAATATTGTTGTATTATAATAATTAAGAAAACATCTTTTATTATGAAATTTTTATGTCTCTAGCAAAAAAAAAAAAAAGTAATGATTCCATTTAAACTTGTTCCAATTTTTATATTATTTTGCAAAATACTTGTTACTGTTTATGGAACTGCAATTGATTAAATATAACAAATAAAATTCATTCTGATGGAAAAGAGTTTTTAGTATTTACTAAAAATAGATGAAATATAACCCAGTAAACATGAAGTGTATTTTAGATGTCTAAAAAATTTAATAAAACATTTTTTCAAATGTTTTAAAGACTTTTTACTTGGAAGTTTTTATATTCAACATTTTTTTTTTTAAGTTTTACTTCATACACAAACTTTAGGTGGCTTTAAGTCTTAGAGTATTTTAGAATTTTAAATATTAAAGTATGAGTTTAGGTAACATTTACAGTAATCCACTTTTTTTATAAGTAAAAAAATTTCCTAAAACTTTTTTCACTAACTTTTTTAAACTTTTGTTTGAATCAAAAACTTTTGAAACAGAGATTTTTTTGTTTTAAAAGTTTTTATTTATTTAACTTTTTTATCTATTTTTCTGTGTTAATGATAAAATCTTTTTGTTTCTGTGACACTACAATTGCATACAGGTAACCAACCAAGAAATTTAAAAAGAGATTTGTTACTTTTAGAGTGTACAGTATGCCCAATGTAATTTCTCCATGATAAATTTTTGTTTATTTAAACACTTTAAGTGTACTTTTTTTAGTAAGGCAATTCTCAAAAAGAAAACAAAAATAAAATATTAAAAGATTTAATCTAAATAGAAATATTTTTTTTTGAATTAATTCAATTTAACAATTTTTTGGCTAAAAAATAAAAAACTAAATTTTTTTATATAAAAACCACTTTGTAACTTATTTGCTGGCATTGCTGGATTTTAAGTCTATTTTGGAATTTTACTTAAATTTCTAATGATCCCTGATAGGTACAAGGTGAACTGCTGCCCAAAAATTACTTTTACTTATTTCTTTTCAAAAGATGCATGAAAATTATAAAAAAAATTTTAACCTAATTCCCAAATAACAAAAAATATATATATTTAAATACAAGTAGGAGTAGAGTTTTCTGAAAGCTTGATTTTACTAATTATTTAGTAGTAGTAAATCCCTATTTATAGAGATTTTAAAATATTGTTTTTAAAATTTTATAATTGCAGGTTATAAAAGCATTGATTTGAAGGATGATATTAAAAAGATATATAAATTTTCAAATGATTTAGTCAGAAAAAGAAAAGTTCTAAAAAATATCAATGATAATGTATTGACCATTCATTCTACATTTTTTTAAAAAAGTTGTTTTGAATTTTTCAAAGTTTTTTGAATTTTTTAATTACAAGATTTCAATGAACAAATTTTGAATTTTTAAAATTTTTGAAAAGTTTGAAAGTTAAATAAAAAGCTAAGTTTATGTTTTTGTTGCTCAGTTACTAGTTAGTATCATATGATAGGAAGATTCTAAGATTGATGATAAGATGGTAGTAAAATTTTTAATACTTTAGATTTTTTAATTAATTTTTAAGTTTTTAATTTCTTTTTCTTTTTGATTTAATATTTTTGTGTGTGTGTGTTTGATATTTTTGTTTGTGTGTGTGTTTGATATTTTTGTTTGTGTGTGTGTGTTAGATGTTTTTTTTTGTGTGTGTTTGATTTTTTTTTTTTTATGTGTGTGTGTGATGTTTTTTTTGTGTGTGTGTGATGTTTTAATTTTTATATAATAAAAAAATTTTAATAACTTTTTTTTCATTCAAGATTATGTGATGTTGCTACATCCACTAAAAATAAATTAGTTGCACTGGGTTACTCATCTTATACAGTAGAGGATTTTCATGAAACGGTAGGCCATTCAGAAGCTTTGTATTTTTGTTAATAAAAACTGGAATTTGTGTTCAATTTTATTAGTTGTTATGTTTAATCAACAGACTAAATCTTTCAAGTTGATTCAGAATGAATTGTTTTATATCATTTTAATGGATTTTTTTATATCATTATTTTTAACTATGCTTATCTATAGTCATTTTTGGAGCAATACTAGCACTGTAAACTTCTGCAGACATTGGAGTTAAATTATTTAATTTTTTAGGAGTAAATAAAACAAGTTTAGATTCATAAATAATTTTATTTTTTATTTTTTTGGTTTGATTAAATCTTTTCTTGTATACAAATGTTTTTATTATTTTAGTTTATGGATGTTCTCGAAATTGCTAAAAAAGAAAAAAATCTTCAAGAAATAATCAAGGTTTGTTTTAGCACAAGTAGAATAAATATTAACATGCTCATCTCTCAAATTAAAAATAAAATATTAATTATTTTATCTCTAAATAAGACATTCAAAATTGAATAACTGAAATTTTTGAAATAAAAACATTTAAAAAAAACTATTATACCATGATGATTTCAATTAAACTGCTAACATTGGTTCAACATTTACAAAGTTGGAAAATTTCTGACAAAAAAATATATATAAATAAAACGTTAAATAAAAAAAGTATATATTTATAAATGATATTAAACATTTTTTTAACTTTAAGTATTTAATTTGGAATCTAAAAAATATATATAAGTTAAAATAAAAAAATTAATAAATATATGTTATATCTTAAAGTTATTTTAAAAATATAAAAAGGAAAAATATTGTTCAAACAATTGAAGCAAGTTTAGAAAGCTCTTTTATACATATTTCACTTAAATCATGACTATTTGGATCAACACTTAATCTTGTCAAGTCTGCAAGAGCCCCTTAAATAGCAAAATTAAATTATTATTTTAAGATTTCCATAAATCTTAGAATTCTTAGTGAAATCTTTCCTTTATTTTAAATTTCTCTTTGAAAAAAAACTGATACTATTAAAAAACTATGAAATAAATTTACAAAAGTATTAAAGTTTTTTAATGATAAAAGAATGTTGAATTCATTAAATCCAACACCTTGCCATCAATAGGTTCCTGCTAAATTTCTGGTTTACCAAACCTCTTTTTTGTAGAAAAGTTTATATATTTAAAATTTAATTTATATTTTTTGTAGTTTTTTTGTATTCAGATATTGTGTAAAGTAATATTTTCATTAATTGTTGTTGAACTTTTTTAGGTGTATAATGAGCAGGGGTATTCTGATTACTTTGTTGTGTTTTTGCGATTGATGGTTTCCTGTTATCTACAAGAAAATGAAGAGTTCTACTCTGCATTTATAGAGGGTCATACTAATATGAAAGATTTTTGTAGTCAAGTAAGCATTTTATTTGAGAATAGTAATAATTTTTTTAAATCACAAAAAAATTAAAATGTCAAAAAAGTTTTTTTTTCTTGAAATGTTACCCCATCTCTCAAATAAAGTGAAACGAAACTATTAAAAGTATTTTATGAAACATATTTAGTTTTTTAAATATAAAAGAAAGAGATTCTTAAAAGGCTTCTTGCATTTTTCCCCACAGATCCATTTAATTAAAGCAACACCTTCCTCATCCTCACCTTTCTCATCCTGTGTGACATTCCACTGAGAACATAGAGCCTTTAATAGAAGTAAAAAATCTGTGTAATATAATGTTTTTATCACAATTTGCACATATCACATATATTTGTCCTCCAATAGTAAACCTAAAGTACCATATATGTTTTTGTACACCACTGGCGACACAAACAAACTGCTTTGGCATACATTGGTTGTTACTAGATATTTATCTATGAACATCTATAGCTTCATGTATATATCGATTTATCCATAATTTTGCTGTTTTTTCTTGGCAAATTCAAGAACAAAATTTATTACAATGACAGTGGACACGCGTCATCCAGGGAACATCCGTTGGACTTATTACGAACATCTAGGCGTACGATGGACGTCATCTAGAAGACAAATGCTCACTGGGATACATCAATAATTTTCTGTTTTAAACTTTAGCATATCATATGTTTATCTCACTATGCCCCTGATATTAGAATTCCCTACTTTTTTTTCCTCGTGTTTTGGAGCTATAAGGTTGATAGAGGGTTGGTCAACAGGAAAGAGGGTTGACAGGCTTAATCAGCAGAAAAGAGGGTTAGCAGAGGGTTAATCAACAGGAAAGAGGGTTGACAGAGGGCTGTAACAACAATAAAATAATAAATAATGAGTTGCATACTTGATACAGCTGTCTATTTGGCTTTAGGGAAATGAATACAGTAAAAAATATATGTGTTATAAAAAAATTAATTAAGTACAATAATTTAATAAAAATTTATAATATCAAACAATTTTTTACATTATAACAATAAGCAATTTTTAAAAAATGATTTTGTGTTGAAATCTCAAGTGTTAACATAATGGAGCGAAATTCAGTTTAATGCATTTTTCCACATGTGGGCTAATAGTTTCTTCATCATTACTATATATGATATATATATATATATATATATATATATATATATATATATATATATATATATATATATATATATATATATATATTTATATATATACATGTATATATACACACTTTTAGGGGTTGCTCAAGTGCCTCAAAAGTCGTATTTTAGACTTTTGAACCCTTTTTTTTAGCCCATTTATGCAATTCTTATGTATTACGGTAATTTTTTAGATATTTTTAAGTTTTTTGGAAAAAGCACCACATATATGTTGCATAAAATGTCTAGCAAACTCATACAGTAAACTTTTATTAAATTATTATTTAAAAAAATATTTTGTTATAATCATTCATTATTTTTTTGTTTTGCTTGGTGGTCTTGCTTTTTCCTCCATACTTTTGTAGTTGTTTAAGAATAAAAGCAAAAGCCTCCTCTTTACATTTCTAACAAAATCATTGTTGTCCCTTATAATCTTAACAGTTCTTTTAGACCAATCATTAGCTTATTTTTAATTATTACTATTTTTATTAATAATTAAACTATTATAAAAATGATTTACAGAAAATAAAAAAACTTTGTTGTTTTTGTTGTTGCTAACAACAGCAAGATGAAAAACAACATCCTGGTATTTTTGGTAGAAATCATTGCAAGTGCAATATTTGAATGAATGGCGGTTCATGCATTGATAGTCACTTTTACTTTAATCTATCATAAGAAAAACAAGTCACAAATTTTCTGTGAAATCTAAAGAGCTGAGGGTCTTAATGTTGGCTCTCATTTGGGTTGATGGATATTCTTTCTTCACATTTTTTATCAGCTAGGACTATAGCACAATAGGACAAGGGTCCAGGAATCATGAACAGCAAAGAATGACCATGATGTGAAATAAGCATGAAGTGATCTTGGTAAAGAGAACCATATAGGTTTTTATATAATTAGTTACCATTTTCGTAAAATACTTTTTTCTCTAGCATATGTATTTTTTACTTTTGTGCCCAAATTTCTTTTAAATTTTGAGAAAAATGGTGTGGAGAAGATTGAGGATTCCTGAGGAAACTTTATCAAAATATTATCAGCAGTGATTCTCTAAAAAAGCACGATAACTTGATATCTGAACTTGTTAATACTTATGATGTATTTAATTTGTAGCAATTTATTCTTGATAAAATTTTTTCTTGTTTCCTAGCAATCAGCAAGTTCTATAGAATTCGCTGATTACTTGATTCTATAGTAATTGCTACATAGTACATATTAAATATACATAAATATCTATATTTTTTGTGAAACAAAAAGTAATATCTTACTCTTTTTTGCAAAAGCAAGTATGAAGGAAAAAACAAGACCACCATGAAAAACAGAAAAACAATGAATAAGTTTAACAAAATATTTTTTTAAATAATAATTTATAAGGAAGTTTGTTGTATGAGTTTGCTTGACATTTTATGCAACATATATGTGGTGCTTTTTTCCAAAAAGCATAACCATCAGAAAAAATTGCATAAATTTGTGATTTTGTGAACAGATTTATTTATAATATTTCCAATAATTAAGTTTACCATGCATTTTTATTTGATTCCTCTACCTAGTTAGAAACTCTTAAAAGAAAAAAAAAAAATTTTTTTTGAGTTTTAGAACTTGCTCAAACGTGCCAAAAACGGTCTAAAAAAAATCTAAAAACGGGTTCAAAAGTCTAAAATATGACTTTTGAGGTACTTGAGAAACCCCTAAAAGTGGTCCAAGTTCAAAATAAAAAAAATTTGACTTATAAAATATGGGTTTGCGCATCAGATAATACTCCATAGTTCTTTTATTTTTTTTATGACATCAAAATTAAGCAGTCTTATATATATATATACAACCATATATATAACATATATATAACATATATATACAACCCTTGGAACTAGGGTCGGCATTTGGCAATGCCAACCCTAACTCTCGACCTAAAAGTGGTTAAGGTTGGCAAAAAATTGCTGGCCTCATTTCTATATTTTATGGTAACTCCTTTGTATCAAATAATTTTTGCTAACCTGATGCCGACCTCTAAAAGAAAGAGGTTAGCAAATTATTATCGAACTCATTTTTCCTAATTCCAAGGGTTGATATATATATATGTATGTATATGTGTATATATATATATATATATATATATATATATATATATATATATATATATATATATATATATATATATATATATATATATATATATATATATATACATATATATATACATACAGTGCTCGAAGCGTAGAAAATAAAATATCGGGATGGTATTAGGAAATTTAAAAATACCATCCTGCCTAATCATTGTTATATATAGCGATTTATAAAAAGGTAGCGGGATGGTTTATACTTTATAAATAGGTGACGAGATGGCATCCCATCTCACTTCGAGCACTGTGTGTGTATATATATATATATATATATATATATATATATATATATATATATATATATATATATATATATATATATATATATATATATATATATATATATATATATATATATATATATATATATATATATATATATATAGTGAAAACTAAATAATTATTAAGATATATTTCAATTACATAACTAATTGTTTGTAACAGATGTAACAACAGATGCTATTGCGTGAAACTATTAGTTATGTAATTGAAATATATCTTAATAATTATTTAGTTTTCACTATATTTGCTCTACTAATTATATAACACGCTGTATTGAGCAATCTAACTGGAAATATTAACATAATTCCTACAATATATGTATATTTATTCATATACATATATATATATATATATATATATATATATATATATATATATATATATATATATATATATATATATATATATATATATATATATGCACAGGGCTTAATTTAATTTTTTATAAAGTCCTGGATAAAATGTCCGATCAAAACTTATTTGGGTCGGACAATGTCCAGTTAAATTTTTAAAATACATTTTTTTACCGTTTTACCAATTTATGCAATCAAATTTTTTGTCATGTTATTCAGTTTATTTAACTTTAGTCTAGTGAAGTTGTATTTGCAGATTTTTGCATTTTTTTAAATAAAATAGTTTCAATTTAATATTGTATAATTTTAAAGATAGATTTGAAATTTCACGCTTTAACTGACAACGCTTAATTTTTTTTTTTTTTTTTTTGTTAATTTTAGGCAAATTAAAAATATTTTTTTTTCTTTTCAATAATAAATAAATTTGTTCATTTATTAAACAATCAATAGAATTAATTTGCAAAAGCATTTTGTGTAACTTTTATTAAACGTTTTAAAAGATCAGTTTTTAATTAATTTAAAAACGTAACTTCTAATTTAAATGTAACTTCCAATTTAAATGTAATTTCTACTTGGAGTTTTCTTCCCAAGATTCAATTGTTTTTTTTTTATGCTTCTTATTTTACAAAGAATTGTTTCTAAGTTTTTTTTAAAACTTGATCAACTATTCAAAGCATAAAATGATTAAAAATTACTATTTTAAAAAGACTGCGCCATTTTTTTAAACAAATTTTTTTTTGCAACTTTTTGCAAAAAATGTTTATACAACTTAAAAATATTATGTTTTATTCTTTTCAATAATTTAATTACACTTTTCAATAAATTAAATAGAATTTGTTTATTTATTAAACAATTAATAGAAATAATTTTAAAAGCGTTTTGCTTAACTTTGATAAAATATTTAAAAAGATAAGTTTAAAAGTAATTTATTTCAATCAAACACAATTAAAAAACGTAATTTTAATTTTTTTTAAGTTTAAGTTTTTTCAGTTTTGTTTTAAAGCTTTTAATTTATTTTTAATAAGTTTACTTTTAATTTATATATATATATATATATATATATATATATATATATATATATATATATATATATA